GTCTGTGGGTACTTGGAGGTGCTATCGAGCTTTGTGGTTCGGATCTAGTTAGTCCATTAAGAAAGTTGCTGGATCCATTGTGTTGGTCGTGGATCTTGTGGTTTCTCTCGGTATTTCGCGATGGGTGTTTGCCCGGAGTGTGGTGGAGCTTGGCTTTCCCATCCGGTAGGCATTGCTTTAGCGTTAGCTTTTGTTGGTTTTTAGGATTTTGTTGTTTTCTTTGTTTGTGTTTTGTTTAGTTTGTTAGTGTGCGTCTGTGTTTTTATCTCGTCAGGGAGCGTGTATTCTCCCATCGGGGAGCGTGTATTCTCTATGAGTGGAGTTTTTAGTTTTTGTGTGGTTTTGTAGTATTTTATGTTATAGGCTACCACCTGGTGGTAGGCCTCCCTTTTTCGGCTCGGTAGCCGGTTGTTAGTACGTGTTTTTATTTATGAATTTATCGTTTGAAAATAAAAAAAACTCTTCTTTGTCAAATTCTCAACTACTAACTCATTTTTTATTCATTTTTATTTATTTTTTATTTTTTAAAAATAATTTAAGAAAATTTGTAACCCAGCCTGAAACCCGCCGGTGTCGACTAAGCCTCAACACTATTGCAAACCTTCACCGCCGCACCTCAGCCCTAAAAAAACTCTGAAAAAGCCGATCAAAACCCTAGCCACTGCCCCAATCCGAGCCTCCTCCAGCACAACCCAAAAACATACGCTGCTGCCGCCGCAGCCCCTAAAAAACCTAACAGGAGGCCTACAAAAATTCTAGCCTTTGCCGCCGCACCTCAGGATGCCGACCAAAATCCTAGCCGCTGCCGCCTCAATCCGAGTCCTCCAGCACACCCAAAACCCTTGCGCCGCTGCTCCAATCTGAATCCTTCTCCAGCACATTAGCAAACCGCATCACTTCGGCGAGACACCACGCGCCATGGTCATAACCTCCGACAAAGGCGGCAAGAAAACCACCACAGCCAACGGCCTCTCCCTCGCGCACCTCGGCTTCTTTGTCGTCACCATTGACGCTGACGTCCTCCGCAACCTCAACCTCCACCTTGGCCTCGTCGACGACGGCAGATTCGTTCAACTGAAACAATTGTGCTCGAGGAAATTCTTGTCAGGCCCGAGCTTGCACTCCAGCCCAAAATTAGAGTCCAGAAGGCCCGGGCAGTAGACAGAGGAGATACAGAGATCTCGACATTTGGTTTTCTTCAATTTTTTTTTTTTTAAATACTCAAATAATACCCTCAAAACACCGGTTTCAATGAGGTGAAACTGGGCTTAAACCTGGTATAGTGAGCAATTTGACAAACTCGCGTAGTTCAGATGGTAGTTTGCCCAAAAAAAAGTTTAGCCAAAATCGTGATAGTTCAAATGGTAAAATTTTTTTTACCCTTTAAAAATTTAATTTCTATTCTTAGAGATCTCATCAAGTATTTCATGTTATTTGAACTAAATCTAGATTACTTTTGATAAAGTGTCGTCTTTATGGGATCAAACATTTCAGCTTTTATCATAAATACTAACATAATACCATACCATACAATATCCGGTATTTGAAAAAAATTGATACATTTAAAATAGAGAAATAAGTAGAACCTTACTGTTAAATATTTATAAAAAGTAAATGTACAATAAGTAATAAAGGACTAGCAAAGTGATATTATTTAACATGAAACTCATGTTTTACACATAATCTGTAAAAATAATATTTTTAAATTACATTTTATGAACCAAATTTGTACATGTGTCAATACAAAGTATAGATTTGTACCAAAATAAATTCATGAAGCATGCAAGACACTCAAAAGTTAGCACATTTAAAAATTATATATGGGGGATTTTATGTATTAATATTTGGGAAAACCAAGACATGTTCTTGGAAAATAAAAATATTGGGCTTATTTCCAAGATCAGAAAAAAAATGACTTTGTTTAATCAAGTAGTATAATTTGGATGCCAACCTCCACCAACCCACCCCAAACAAGTCCCAATCCTCCAATTTTGGGTAATATATTGGTTCCAAGGCCAGTAGCCTACCACAACCTTATCACATATGCACAATAATTTGACCAATTATGTGCATATTTTTTGTACAAAATAATTCTCAAAAATTCAAAATACCAGACTTTTGAATTTCTTGCTTGAGTTTCAATGATCAGAAGAACATAATTGAAGACTTTGAATCACCAGTCCCTTTCAATAGTACATCTTTAGTTAACCAAATCTCAGCAAACTATCCCACATTTTCATACCCCAAATGTTTGTCCCTACACTATATATATTTTGCACTTGAATTATATGCTAATCTATCTCAGTCTTGATATCCAGAGAGCAGCAGCAGCAGCAGCAGAGGTAATAAGATGCACATAAATTTCACTTCATCTGCTTCATTTATTTTTGTATATTGATCTTTATATAAAATTTTTCTATAGAATTAATTCGAAAAATGGAAAACGGCAACGGAATTATCGAACTTAGCGTCATACAGGGGAAGCCCACATTAGTTCCCCCGGCCGACGAAACTAAGAACGGCCTCTACTTCTTATCGAACCTCGACCAGAACATAGCCGTCATAGTTCGCACGATCTACTGCTTCAAATCGGGAGACAGGGGCAACGAGGATGCGGTTGGAGTAATTAAGGATGCCCTGTCTAAGGTTCTTGTCCTGTACTACCCGTTGGCTGGCCGACTCGCGATCAGCCCCGAAATGAAGCTCATAGTCGACTGCACGGGGGAAGGCGCCGTTTTTGTCGAGGCTGAAGCCGAGTGCGAACTCAAGGAGTTGGGGGATATCACGAAGCCCGATCCCGAGAGGCTCGGGAAGTTTGTTTACGATGTCCCGGGCGCCAAGAATGTTCTTGAAATTCCGCCTCTGGCGGCTCAAGTGAGTGGGATAAGATAAATTAGTTTTGAACTTTGTTTCGTAGAAAGGTTTTGCACAATCTTAGCATGAGTTTTACTTGTGATGCATGAATTTGATGTTGTTTGGAAAAATGGGTGACGGAAGTTTTGACTTGTCACGAGATTTGTGTGTAAAAGTAAGGTGTGGACCTTGAATACACTGTGAAACATTTTTTCAAGTGGCAAGGGTCTAATTTTGGTCCCCTTTTAATTTCCAGGTGACTAAGTTCAAATGCGGCGGTTTTGTCCTGGGCCTATGCATGAACCACTGCATGTTCGATGGCATTGGAGCCATGGAGTTCGTGAACACGTGGGCTGAGATGGCCCGAGGCCTTCACCCGAAAGCCCCTCCATTCATGGACCGGACCATCCTCAAAGCCCGAATCCCCCCGACTCCCAAATTCCCCCACCACGAATTCGACGAGATCCACGACTCATCCAACACCTCACAACTCTACACGGAACAGGACATGGTCTACAAATCCTTCTGCTTTGACCCCGAGAAGCTCGACTACCTCAAGCGCAAAGCCCTCGATGATGGGGCCCTCACCAAATGCACCACATTCGAGGCCCTCTCGGGCTTCGTCTGGCGGGCCCGGACTGAGGCACTCGGCATGAGGTCCGACCAGCTCACAAAGCTCCTCTTCGCCGTGGATGGGCGGCCGAGGTTTGACCCCCCGATCCCGAATAAGTATTTCGGGAACGGGATTGTGCTCACGAGCGCGATCTGCCTGGCCGGGAAGCTCGTGAGGGGCCCGCTCTCGCTCGGGGCTGGGCTGGTGCAGGGGGCGGTGCGGATGGTGACGGATCAGTACATGCGATCGGCGATCGACTACTTCGAGGCGACGAGGGCCCGGCCCTCGCTGGCCTCGACCCTACTGATCACGACGTGGTCGAGGTTGTCCTTCCACACGACGGACTTCGGGTGGGGAAGCCCGGTGCTGGCGGGGCCCGTGAGCCTGCCCGAGAAGGAGGTGATATTGTTCCTCTCGCATGGGGAGGAGAGGAAGAGTGTGAACGTGCTCCTGGGATTGCCGGCCTCGGCTATGAAGAAGTTCGAGCTACTTTTGATGATTTGAAGGGATTGAATTGATATTTTTCTTTGTTTTTCTTGTGATGATATATACTGGGAATGTATTGTGTTGTGGTTTTTATTTTTTTGTTTTGTTATGGGTTTAGATTTGTATGGCGTTGTGTGTGGTTGGAATGGAAGTGCATAGATAAAAATTTATGTTTTTATGTGATTGCAAGAAAATAAATTAAGAGGGTGTATTTAATTGGGATTTAAAAAGACTTTTAAAAACTTTTTAGTACTTTAGAAATTCTGGTGTATTTAATTTAGATTTCTCAAGACTTTTAAAAGTCTTGAAGTATTCAATTAGAATTTTAAAAACTCTTACAAAATCATGGGGTATTTGAATTATTTGACAGTATGATTTGTAAGGACTTTTTAAGATTTGCTAGGATTTCTAAAGAAAAAAACATGTATGAAATCTCACTACAAATCTCACCACTACACTTGGTATTTTACAGGATTCCTCCAAAATCTGAAAATCTTAAAAAGTCTTTAAATGTCACTCCAATTCCGAAACGAATACACCCATATTTCAATTGGAGATAATGAGTTATTATGTGGCTTTGCAAATCAGAGTGGGCTTTTTTCTTGTAAGTTTTCTCTAGGGTTTCCGGCAATGTCCGACGGTGCTCTCAAATCCCCTAACGACGGCTCCAGGCGATGAAGCTCGGCGCTTTAGTCACGATACTGAATTCCCATCATTAGACTGGAATGTCCTGCCAGCTTCTAAGCGCCCTAAAACATGCAAACGATCTGGCGAACCTCTGGTCCAGCAAGCCCCTCCGAACCAACAATCGACCCAGACACTTGTTCAAGATCCACAACCCCGCAAATGGTTGTTTAAGGATATGGTTAATAAACACAGACATCATGTGGAAATGGATCCTGACGACGAAGATCAGAATAAGGAGGAAGAAGATGTTGTCGTGGACCTCTCTCGCTCTACGCTGGAGATTACGATTGCACAACGAATTTTTGAACATATTAATAAAGACTAGCAGCATGCGGTAGTGTTAAAACCTTTCGACGATTCGCTCACCATGTCATCCCTTTACAACCGGCTCACTATGATGTGGCCTTTCATGGTGGGATGCAATATGATGGACTTAAAGAACGACTTCTACCTCATCCACTTGCGCAACCAAGATGACATGGTCAAAGTCCTCACTAGAGGGTTATATGTGGTAGGGAACATCTATATGCATGTGCAGCCTTGGACCCTTGCGTTTGATGCGACCAAGGGGGAATTATCAGCGACGGTAGCATGGATCCGGTTGCCCGGGATGCCGTCTCACCTGTACCATAAACAGATCTTTCATACAATTGGTCAGGTTGTTGGTAAGGTAGTCAAGATTGATCAACAAACCACAACCCTTACCTGAGGAAAATACGCGAGGCTCACGGTTATGGTCGATCTAACGAAACCACTTTATGTGAACTTCACTATCAATGGGAGAACCCAGAAGGTGGTCTACGAGAGTTTACCGGTTATTTTTGTCCAATGCGGAAGGATTGGACACTCGGGAAACTCTTGCACATTACCCTGGCCCACTAACAGAAGGGCCACAAGGGTCCCCAACCCGGCGTCAATTCAGGGGTAGAGAAGACTGGCGCAGGTTGCTCCGGCATTAAGGAGACGACGACGTGCGGCGTCCGGGATAATCTGTATGGTCCATGGATCCAGGTCCCTCAGCTTTACACGCCAACCATATTCCAAGCATAATTCTGGGATGGAAAAAGGCTCAATCCGCCAATAATCCGCCTCTGACCATGGGATTGGGGGCTCATTTTAATCTTTTGGAAATGGAAGATACGAGGGAATCTCATCAAATATTTGAGTTTGGTGCCTCTTCTGTGGTAATAAATAAGGGGGAGATTGCATTATCTAATAAGCGCACTAGAGATACGGGAGAGAAAGAGAGAGAGAGAGAGAGAGAGAGAGTGACATATGGCTTCGGGAAAAGGGCAACACCAAGGCAATGCTAAAAATGGAAACATGAGAGCGAAAGTAGCCAGTGGGCTTGATAGAACGAGTGGACCAAAAGAGATCTCGAAAAATACTAATGTGGTGGCCCATAATCCTAATGTTGGGTTAGAAAAAGGTGTCGAAATGCATAAAGGTAGTAATGGGCCCAAACCCCAGTTCATCTGTCTGATACACGCATGGCATGTTCAAGTAAGTGCTGAGCTCTTGTAATGGCAGGTAAAGGTCTAGAGAGGCCAGACGAAAGGCCTCAACATTGGTTCGACGAAGATGCCATAATGGTAGAGGGAGAGCAAAATATACGATGCCAGGAGCCATGGTCGGAGGATCCAAATACTCGATGGGACTCGGAAAGCAGCCCAAATGAACGTACGTGCATGGAAGAGTGTTCGGACATGCCGGTCCGTAACGTGGACTAATGATGATCGCAAGTCCTCTCCTTCGGGTTATTTTCGAGATGAATATACTCACATGGAATGTTCAGGGTGCGGGCTCGCTTGTATTCCGGGGAGCTTTTTCTACCCTTATTCAACAGTATAAATCGGACATTGTGGCCCTCTTTGAGCCACTCCTTAGTGGAGTGAATGCTGATTGGTTCGTACGGTTTAGCAAATTTGAATACTCATTCTGAATCGAAGCTCAAGGCTTTTTAGGGGGCATCTAGATTCTATGGACTGATGAGGTCAAGATTGATGTTTTTCGTTATACCCAACAAATGGTGCACGTTAGGGAAACCAAGAACGCCAATAATTGTCTAGTGTCTTTCATTTATGTCAGCCCCAGTGCGACTCTTTGTAAGCAGTTGTGGGTTGACTTAGGGAGACTGGCGACGAGTATTTTAGAGCCATGGATAATTGGCGGTGACTTCAACTTCTTTCTTCGACGGTCCGAGAAAATGGAGGGTTCCTCCACCTTCTGTAATGTTATCCAGGAGTTTGTTGATTGGATATTCGATAACAGCCTCTAGAAGGTGACTACTGATGGACACTGCTTCACTTGGTCTCAGGATACTCGCCATGGTAGGGTGGCTGAGAAACTGGATTGTTTTATAGCCTATACCACCTAGCTAGAAAAATTCGAGATCGGTCGATCCCGTATTCTCCCGAGTGTGCAATCAGACCACGTGCCTCTACTACTGAGTTTCCTTCGGCAAAGTCCCTCCCAGATTGGAGTGAAGCCGTTTTGCTTCTTGGCAGCTTAATTTGGGTTTACATCACATGTTACATTCATGGTTGTCGGAACTTATTGATAAAGTCTATGTGGTAGGAGTCCAGGCTATTGCCCAAGAGAGTATTATTAATTTCTATCAATATTGGAAGAATACAAAGATGTCGATGAAGAACCTAAAGGAACAGTAGCAACAACCTATTTTCACACGAGATTATTATAGATCGGAAACCACCCCGAGAAGCCATCCAGCTGTAGCATCTACGATAAAAACCTATGACGGGGCATGACTATGAAATATTTCACACGCATTCTATTTTCAAAATCACTAAACATAAAACATAGAACCCTCTGCACAATCTTTCATTTTTCAAATCACAATTATTTTCAACTTTTGCTCCAGCTCAGAAGCAACATCATCACCATTATTCTTTAGCCTTTTGTTTTGACATTGAGAAAAAGCCTACGAAGTACAATATCATGAGCATCTTCTCCTAAATCAATGACCAAATATTGGTAATATCAGTGTGTGTGAGTTGAAGTTGTCTATAACATTATTTAGGCTGGAGACCATTGAGGATAGAGACTTATAGTTTATGATATCCATAATTAATGTAACAAATAATAATAATAAAAAAAAACAGAAATTGGAATTACAGTTGATTCTACCTATTTTTCGTTCAAGAAGGATTGGTACATAACGAGAAGATGAAATTATAAGTAGATCAAAATTAAATAATATACCTCTTCAGAGTTGCCCGCCAGAGGAACCGTGCCAGCAGCCTCTGGGTCACCCGCCACCGGACCACTGCCGGCAGAGGATCGGTGGCCCACTGCCACTGATTCTCATTCCAACGCTTCAATCTTGAAAACATCAACAAACTTGTAATCTTACATGGTGATCACCTCTTTTTAACAGCTTGTTTAGTTCTAATTATGCAAAGTAATGTGGCAAGATTGAAAGTCAATTTTTCGCCGTTCTATCTTTTTTGAATTTTTTTTCTCTACGGATGTCTTTGTAATGTGGTGACACTGTGAAAGTAGAAGTAGAAAAAAATCGTTGGCTTCTGAAAGTGAAAAAATTCCACTATTTCTTTTTGTATTAAATAATAACAACGCGGCAAATATACGTCAGAATAATTGTCGAATAATAATTGTAGAGTATAGATTTTTTTTCCCGGAACGATAGGAAATATTATAAATCAAAA